CCTCCCCTGATTGGGTGGAGAGGCAAATCTCGGTGGGCTGGTGGCGGATGGACTGCAGGTTAGCCAGCTGGCCCCCACCCCTATTGCGGTAGTGCTGTATCAGTCCCAGGACTGGCCCAGGGGGAGGGGCTGAAGAACCTATTGTGGTGGTGGGGACCAACCTCCTTGCAGCCCTTCCTCCCATCTGGCCCCACCCCCTATTGGGGTGGGGGGGCGATCAGGGGTGGGCCGGCCATGGGAAGGGGCTGCAGGCCAATCAGGGTGGTGGGGGCCCATCGGGGGCGGGACCAGCCATGGGGAGGGGCTGGCTCCACCCCCTATTAGGGTGGGGGTGATCAGGGGCACGACTGGCCTGGGGGAGGGGTGGTTGGCCCATGGTGTTCTGGTCACTGACTTTTTATATATATAGATTTTTTTATTGATTTCAGAGAGGAAGGAAGAGGGAGAGAGAGGTAGAAACATCAGTGATGAGAGAGAATCACTGATCAGCTTCATCCTGCAAACCCCCTACTGGGGGTCAAGCCCGCAACCCAGGCATGTGCCCTTGACTGGAATCGAACCTAGGACCTTTCAGTTCGCAGGCTTGTGCTCTATCCACTGAGCCAAACCAGGTAGGGCTGAGGGGAGGAAGAGGAGGAGGAGGAGGAGGAGGAGGAAGAAGAAGAAGAAGAAGAAGAAGAAGAAGAAGAAGAAGAAGAAGAAGAAGAAGAAGAAGAAGAAGGAGAAGAAGAAATCATTAACAACAAAATGGCAATAACTACATATCTATCAATAATTAAATCTATAAAATAGAACAGACTGACGAATCTTAGAGGGAAGAGGGGAGGGGTGGTGGGAAGAGATTAGCCAAAGATCTTATATGCATGTATGCATTACCTATGGACACTGACAATAAGATGGTGAGGCCTGGGATGGGGCAGGAACCAGGTGGAGGGGGGAGGGGGGGTGGGAGAGGGACGTCTGTAATACTCTCAACAATAAAGATTTAAAATAAAGTAAAAAGAAAACAATAAAAAAAAATGACTCTTGCAAAATTGTCCCCAAAAAGGCCATGTGCTCTCAGGAGTGACTGAAAGGTTCCCATGAATAGCACACGAGGAAGGACATAATCGCGTTTCCTTCTAACACAAGCTCACTTTAAAATCTGCCCAAGATTTGTCATAACTGTGCCCTGGCTTAATTTTGCCATTTTTCCTTTGTTTCCCTGTGTTCACTGTACCTACTTGGGTTTTTGTTTTACTTGTTCTGTTTATGGGAACTTTCTCACAAATACGCATCCCTTAAGGTTTGTACGTCGGTCTGCGTGCTTTGTACACATGCACCCCTGGCGGGAGGGTTTGTAAAGCGCCTCCTGTGACTGAATGGAGAATAGACAGGACCCGTGGGCTTTAGCCAGGCCTACGATGGGAACCCACTTATAAACTGTGACTTCTACACAAGTAACGATCAGTCACGCAGAAAGCCTGACTAATCCCTGGGATAAATGCTCGGTCACAGAAGGGCAGCTTCTCCCTCCTCACTGTGTTTGCCATCCATTGCTTCACAGGCGCCCGGACAACCAGGCTGCCCTCCAGGAAGGAGGCTGCAGGCAGCAGGGACTCCGCGCCCACCACCGGCAGGCTGTCCCGGCCAGCACTCCCCGGGGGCTTTCCCGAGAGCACGCAGAGCTGAGCTGTGGAGAACTTAATCACGAAGTGCCATAGACTTTTATGGATTAAAAAAAACAAAAAGAGGAAGAGGACCCCTGGCTGACTGTGGGTTCCCATCCCCCAGCCCTCAGCCCCAGGGCGGGGCTCTGAGCCTCTCCTCCTCTTAGCTCAGCGCGAGGCAGGGTGAGTCAGCCCCCTTCCTTCTCCTCCTGCTGAGCATGGCCTCACTCACCCAGACTCACCACCCTCCTTACTCAGCTCCTGGAGCTGCGGAGTCAGGGAGTGACAGTTCTGGGAACACGGCTGAGCTGCCCGTCCGGGACCCACAGCAGCGAACCGTGCACAGCTGGGGCTCTCCTGCGGCCTGGAGCCACAGCCAGGATTCTGCAGTGCAATTTGTCATCATAAAAACAGCGGGTTCTTTTTGGTGGCTCAAGGGCGGCCACGTTTGAATTCTAAAATTTCACGCAGAATGAAGTCCAGGTTAGGACATGTTCGTTTTATCAAACACGTGGGCAGCTCTGTCCAGTTATTCTCCATGCAAAGCAGGCACTTAGAGTAAACAATGCCGTCTCCGAACAGGGACTGGGAAGACGCGCTCCAGCCCGCTTTCCCCGCCCCTGCGTTCCTGCGCCCCTGCTCTTTGGAGCACTGCGAGGTGTGGACCGGAAGACTTACTCCCGTGTCTCTTCATGCCCGTGAGCCGCACACGGTCTTGTGCCTTCTAGTCATTTCCACCCAGTCAGGGGACCTGCCGCAGTTTATTACTTCACTCAAAGCCGGAATAGGTCACGTCCATTCTGAGCAGTGTATGCAGGGTGCGGCAAAGTACAATAATTAATAAATATTAGTACGAGAATACGCTGTATTTTGTGTACTCACAGCTGTAAGCCTCCTTTTGCCGCCCCCTGTATA